CTTCCTGCTTACAGCGGGTGCTCTTTCCTTTCGGTTTCTCCTGCTTGCGACCATGGGCTATATGCCCAAGACATATATTTATGTCACCTATACAGCGCACCTATTCCTTTTTTCGACTTCATGGGCGAGGCCTGACCATTAGTTTGTCTCGACACATGGGGCATGGGTTGGCCTGGAATCTGGTTGTTGTAGGCGAGAAATTGGTTTCAGCCTTTGGTTCGAGGTTACTTTGGTTTAGATTTTCTTCTATTCGGTAGGGGGTGTACTGTCGGGGTGGGGGTTTTCCTTGCTTTAAAGGATGGGTTTCTGGGCTTTCTGTCTTTACCATTTGTAGATAACCATGCAGGAGACTTGCGGGTGAGTTTTTTAAACCGAGGACTGGTAGAGTATCGGTGGCTCTAGGCGAGACCCCTCCACACTCAAGTCGTGAGACCTTAGGGTCAGGTACCTGGCTGCAAGTGTTAGCCTTTCTGGGGTCATGGTTTTTCTTCTGGCTGCTTTAGAACAAGGTGGGGGGGAGGTGTGGGTCTACATGGCGCAAGCTGATATGACCCCCAGCCTTACTTTCCTTAAAACGGAAAAATAAATAAGATTATAAAAAAGTTCCTCTGGTACAGACTCCTTATGCAATCACTTAAGTTCTTTCCTATACTACAAGTTGAATCAATCCTTGATACACACTTTTCGCAACTCTACTTGAGAAAGAGGTCTCGCTTACAAGAGGTAATGTGAGTACGATCTTATCCTTACTATCAGAACTGATAGTGATAATAGAAACTCTCTAAGCTATTGAAGTATTAGAAGAACTGAAGAGGTAAGGTCGTTTCCTGTTGTAGAACTAAGTACAGAGGAGTAGGATCATTACAGTGATGCACACAATCATGCTCTATCATAAAATTTGGATTATACACGATTATAAATCTTTCTCAATCATATCCAAATTATATGATTGAGCATGATCATCTATATTACTATTATATACTAGCTCTTTGACACGTTCAGTAATGAATATTCAGGTGAAGACCAATCTAGGACCAATCCCATCTAGCAGTCTCACAAAGTGTAATAACTTGAATACACTCATTACATGTAGTTTTGCGGTGCCGAGCATCTCCTGAGTTCTGCTCCTGAGTTCCCTTTTGCTTTGTAACTTTTGTCATCTAGGGTTCTCTAACAGGAGTACGGATGGTCATGTTAGGAACACCAGAATCCAATACCTAGGAACCACTCTAAGTAGGGTAACCCCACTTGGAATCGGAATCTCTAGTCTCCAACACCTCCCTCCGGCTCCCTTACGGGGCCCGCGCGTCATCATATATATTAATCTCAGTTGCATCCTGTGACTATATTACCACAAAGTTGAAGGTGTCAGAATAACACCATATACATCACCGCCGTCCATCTGACCGGATCCTGCTCACAGGATATATGAGAGGGGACCTTCGGTTAGGTCTGGGAAGTAGAACGGAGTGATTCCGTCAACTACTCAGAGAGTTACTTGGCTCCAAAAACATGATACCTTTGGCATGGGCCGTAAGTAACGGGACGATTTCGCACAAAGAGATGGTATCAAATGGTAAAGGATCTCTACAAGAGACCAATACATTTACATCTACCAGAAGAGTCTAGAACTACAAAAAGACACTACCAAAGAAGCCAATGAACTTCACGGAATGTTGCAACTGGGTTTCAGAACACGTCGTAGTCATGGGGTGATTCCCAATACTACGATAGTTACTGAAACCTACTACCCAGAGAGCAACCAAGAGTTGCCGACCGAGGGATTAATTACCAATCTGGTGGAATAGCTTCCTGCGAGTTAATAGAAAATCATCCAGAGAAAATCTATCGGTTGGGTATAGAGTTACAAAGGATCGGAGTCAGGCGACCTATGATGGTTGTATTAACGATCACCTTTGCAGATATAGCCGTAGATAAAACTGATCATTTTATCAATGGCAAAGACAATTGGAGCCAACTCAGTTCGACTTAAGAACTAGGCCATAAGTCTAAAGACTTTGCTAATTGGTATATTACTATTGGAGACAGTATGTTTCCTAAGAAGAAATATCGTAATTACCAAAGAGGGTGTGATGGTTTTCAGGGTCCACAGGTGTTCGCACCTTGGAAGAAAACTCGACGTTGCGAATTACGATTGAAGAAGTACATAGTAGTATGATAGATAGATGTAGTCCGTGAACACTCAGATGCAGAATATAAATATCGAAGTGCCTCCCAAGCTTTAGACATCATCAAGCAACAGAGAAGAGACCTGAACAATATAATATTGTTTTTACGATTCTACCCTACTTTACCTACTTTACTTCACTCTTAGTAGTCATAAATGAAACGAGCCAAGTCCGAGCCTTCCTAGACAATCTCCGTCTACAAAAACAAATCTCAATTGGCCTAGACAATCTTGAAGTCTATCAAGTTGTCTCCGCCTAACAGGTCAACATGATCTGCTGTGTGGTCTTCTTCTTGCTGTAGGAAAAGAGGAAATATTGTACTATACCAGCAAGAGATAACTTGTGTAACTGGGAGCCAAATACTATTTTTGTTTTTTTTGTTAAATCCTACAATCTATTTGCTTACAGGTGCAAACCTTCACTATAAGAGCACAGCCTGGCTAAAGCATGGATCCCAGATATAAGGGCACCTCTGCAATAACCGCCCCATTCCCCCGATTTAGTCCTTAAACATACTGGTCAAAAACCTCCTCCACAGGCCTAGGGGAAAACAAGCCAGCCCAAGTCCCTCTGGTATGGGACCAACCGCACGTCTGCCCCTATGAAAGCTCCTTCTGCACAAAACAAAAAAAGCACAAAACAGGACCAGTAGGAGCCAACAAGAAAACTTATACCGTATTCTCTGGTGAAAGGAAACACAAAAGAAACTCAACAAAAGAAACCACCTTGATAAAACATGTTCCCCATTTTTCAGCTGGTCCAGCCTTGGCGAGCAGCTAGGAATATAGGGGAGAACCATGATCCATTCGTTTCGCATAGTGAAGGCAACCGACCCGGACATGTCGGCCTCCAGAGGAGAGATCGCTTATGGCTTGTCGGACGGGAGCATGACTAGCGGCAGTGCAATACCAACCACGCATTGCGGAGTAACCCAGACATTAGTAAAGCAGCAAACCCAACCAAGTAAAAACCCAAGAAGGGCGGGAAAGTATTCAAAACCTCACACAGCTTAGCCGAGGTGACTACCATGGAGGGAGGAAAAAGGCGGTGAACCACAGTCTGGTGAACAGGAGCAAAGCCCAGTACCAGAGAGGGTGTATTTCGTTGAGCCTCACGATGAGTTTTGAGTGTCCAAGCCTATGAAGCTATCAAGTTCGGTGAGGAAGGGGGATGGTGAGGCATTTCGTGGAGTTTTACCCTGCTCCACCTTCCCAAATAGGAAGGCGAAATTTGGGGTCAGGAAAATAGCGGACGAGAAGCTTAAGGAACCAAATACCATTACACCCGAGTACTTGTACTGATATTTACCTAACTATTTCGTCCAATGCTACCAATTATGATTCCTTATCGCTTATCTTACCTAACGCACAGGTAGATGGTTGCTAGAATCGGTTTTTCAATCTACAGTACGACGTTTTTGTCGTACAACATCACTTTCTGAGTGGCTACATTGTGGGTTGCACATTAACATTTCCCTAACCTGGGAAAATAATTTCCGTATTCTATGCCCTTGTTTCAGCTGGCTACTCGAGTACTGTAACTTTCAGATTCTTGAATCATAGGAGTTTTGGGGGCAATACCATATCACCACAACTCATTCTGGACCGCCAAGGTTCCCGCCGATTGTGGAACATCAGGCAGTTGCAGCACATCTCCAACTTGCCCTCTCAGCTCAACACACCAGCTCAATGCAAGGTTTAGATTTACCTCTCTACGCAAATTTGTATCTCCGGTCACCCATATCAAAAAGCTCCATCTATGTCCAAAAATTATACTTGTAGAGATGTTAAGCCCAGGACCAGAGATTCCCGCGAGAAGTTATTTGAAACCGATAAGCCAAATATTGCAGCTATGGCACAGAAGTTTCGGATATCATAATACTAAAGAACTTGAGAGCAAGGTGGAATGGACAGTCAAGAAGGTGCAACAGGCAAAGCAACTGTTAGAAATATTGGAAAAAGAGGGACTTTGAGACCTATCAGTTGGTTAAGAAGAAAAATACTTGATTTAAACAATTTAAAGAAGGTGTGTGTGGTGGTGTTAACTTACGGTAGTCATTAAAAGTATATAGCCTGAAGTCTTACGTTGGGCTGGCAAGTCGGAGACGTGCCTCAAGATTTGGAACTCCTCGCGCCGTTCCACAATCGACAGGAACCTTGGCACTGTCACCGGTGTTCCACCGATACAAGTACAGTACGAGTACGGTACTCGAGTAATTCCTGATGGGGAAACCTGTTGAAGTATGATATGGTATCATACTGGTAACTTACCATACAGAAGGGAGGGTTAAATTTGACAGTAATCATTTACTGGAAGACTGCAGGTGTCCCTTAGATTAAAAGACTCCGTACTCCCCGCTGCTGCGCGGCATCGATATTCTCAAGTACTGTACAAGACCTCGTCATGACATCTTTACTATGATTTCAGTTACCGTACTATGCTTGTTCGTATTTCCCCTACCGCACCAGAATCTCCCTACCAAAAATAAATAAATCTACCAGTAAGGTACCATACACCACCACCGCCACAGATATTCTTGACCCAGGGGAGGAGCTATCCAATTCTTCTGCCCTTCAGGCCCTGGTTGCTGATCCCCAAGTCCAAGCGCAAATTTTATCAGAGCCCCTTTAATTTAGAGTCTGTACTCATTCTCTGGGTGGACGCTTTTAACGACCTTCATCCCCGTGTTTCAACCCCCCCCCCCAAACTCAGCTTAAGAGAGGAGGCAGGAGCGAAAAGCATCAATCGGTATCCTCTTGTTGATTGAAATTCTTTTCCATCGGTTTTGCTATTTTTGTTTACCTTTCGAGCATGGCGATGATTATACCCCGTTCTTTCCAGCGGACTCGTCGCTCCTCACTTTTCAGCACCAAGAGCCCGCAGCATGGGTTGTTTCTCCCCCCCTGTATCTTGCAACAGAAGCGCTGGAGCACAAATCAACCCAACAGTGTTGGAGGTGGCAACGACTATCAATTTGGTCCCAGCACCGACCTGCAGCCCCAACCGAGCACACAGAAATGGGGATTGATTGAGGATATGGCAGCACTGGGGGGTGACCAGACGGGAGGAACCCGCGGGGGTGGAACGCACCACGGATCGCCCAGGGCCGACGATGGCAATAGAGGGAGCAGTCGAAGAGGAGGGGGGAAACCTCCTGGGGGAGAGGACGATACGAAACACAAATTAAAAGGGACTGCATGGAAAATGTTTGAATCTGCAGCCACAACTGGAGCATCTCTCGCGATATTAGGGTATGGAAACGGTCTCTAATGTCGACTGTTATGGTGATCCCGATAACTAATATTCTGGAAATTTTACCTCTAGATTAGCCGGATACACTTATCACAAGTACTACAAAAGACTCGTCTTACAGAAAATCGATAATGCGTTCAACCAGGGGGATCCGGCATTGAACATGGCTACAGCTTGCTATAGCGATAATGAGGAGCCATGGTACCCCGAACCTCTCGACTCTTTCACAAAACATCCCACTCGCTTTCTTCCGTAACCCAATCCTTTCAAGTGTTTCTGCGATCTGAAGCTTTTTGAAATTTCTTGCATGCTGCCCCCCGATGTCCCGTTTAGGGATATTTACCCCACCAATTCTATTGCTTTGGTCTTCACTTGCCCATTGTTGATACTTAAGGTTCTGAAATCCGTGGCGCCTCCAGGAACTAATATTTGTGCTCCTAGGGTAATGTTAGAGGCACAAGACAAGATCGATAGCATTGTAAGCGGAGAGGAGCAAGGGCACTATTATCTACTTATTGGAGAAAAGGTGATAAATCTCCCTATGAATGTAATTTGTGACGCCCAACGCTGAACTCTTCAAAGGGAACCGGAAAAACATCGATGCTACTTGCGTAAGTACATAATCTTTCATCTAGTCTTGTAGACACCCAGCTAACATCTGCTAAGTGCGATGCACAAAATTAAAGGCGAAGCTTGTTCTATGATGGAGGCCCATGCAGACCCTGAAATCTTCCGAATCCGACTTGGCAAAGCTCTTGATTTTGAATTTGTACCTTCTCCCCACCAATCAACCTCAGCACTTTGATACTGAGATCCATAACAGCATGAAGATTATATCGGCTCCCTGTTTTCTATCCGTGGACCTCGGGATACAACGGCCCTCCTTGACATCGAACGCGCACTGAACAAACTCGAAAAGGTAGCACTAATACGCAGAAAGGCGACCGGTAAACCTCTCATCATGATTGTCAACAGCATGCATTTATTACGCAATGACGATGATGGGAAAGATCTGCTGGAACTACTACAACAGAAAGCAGAATCCTGGGCTGCTAGTGGATTGGTTACTTTGATTTTCAATAGTGATGATTATTGGTGCGTTTCCCCAAATCACTCTGCTTGTTCTGCGGCAGCGCCAATATAATGGGATAGGGTTTACGAGCGTCTAAAGCAATATGGGTCAAGAATGGAGCTCATATCTGTTAAGGATCTCTCCAAGGAAAAGGCTATCACGGCATTGAAAAATTACAGGGCAAAATACAAACATGAAATGGCAAGCATGGACGTTTTAGAACGGGTGTACGAATTGGTGGGCGGAAGACTTGCCTTCTTGAACAAAGTCGCTCGGGAAGAGGATATGATTGCCAAGTGCAAGGAAATCTGCGAAATTGAGAAGACTTGGTTATTGGTTTGGCCGTCGCTTTCCTGCTATCACATTGGCCATTGCTGACCGGATTTATGTATTAGAACAAATGCGGCCTTCTTGGTTCTGAGATGGATGATGACGTCATGGACCAACAGAAGTTTGCATCTTCTGCCATGGTTCTCGTCAAGCACCTAGTAGACATGGAGCAGGCGGATGCTGGTGAATACAACCGTTACAATCCCGAGATTGGCCACGAATTGCCTGAGGTACCTTTATACCGGGCCAGACAGATCATGACCCGGGCAGAATTCATTGAGGAGTTTGACCACATCAACATTTTTACCATTGATTCCAAGGCACGTGTTAGAGCTGATTCTGTGCCCATGCAGAATGCTTTCCGGGAAGTTTGCGGGGAACCTGGCTTTGCTCAGTACTTGGAAGATACTCTTGAGAGAATTAGTGACATTGAGAGCTTGGGCAGAACAAAGGAATTGACCATCAAGGTAAATATTTCGAAGACTCCTCTATAGATTGGTTTGCAGTAAATGCTGATTTAGCGAACAGGATCTTTGGCATGGCGGGAAATACAATATGACAGTTAAAAACTACAGGGGCAATATTGAAAAATCCATACATTTCGATGTTACTTGTGGCGAAAAGGTGAAAGGGGAAGAGGAAGATGATTCTTAAGGTGGGCAATTCCCCCAAACACATGATAAATTCCATACCCACTACTATTCTCAGATTTGACACTTGTTGGATGTCACCACTGCCTGCACGTACACCATCAGTAGCAAGCCTACACCCCATACCTACGGTCATTCTAGATGAGCCCGGGTGCGGACCCACGTCCATCTGCTTTCTTAGTCAGAGAAGCCCGTTTTCTTGTGATATATTTCCTTCTCCCGCCCTCTTGCTCTTTTTCTCCTCTTGCCTTTCCTTTCCTATCAATATATATATATATATATATACCATGCCGTCCTTGTTTTGTAGCACAGACTCGTGACCGGCGTTTTGTTTTCCCTTTAGTTGCCTTGATTCGTTTCGGCATTGCGATAGAGATGGTGGATGTCCTGTTCATATAGAGGTCTGGGAATCGGATGTTGAGGGTTACAGATAAATAGGGTTGACGAAATTCGGCGATAAGTTAATCAATAGTCACGCTTGCTTGCTTGCTTGCTTGCTTGCTTGCTTGCTTGCTTGCTTGCTTGCTTGCTTGCTTGCTTGGCAAGTGGAGAAAGGTGTGCATTCGGGAGAAGCTGAAATTTCCGGCGAATTGAGACTCCCGGACGGGATCAACAGCGGTGAACAGGGTCAATCGAGGGTCAATTATTTTGACAAACAGTAGATGAAATCTACCTTGATAGTCTGTGGTCGTGACCTTTTTTCTGATCACCATGCCAATACTTACATGACTTGCGCTTGAGTACAGTACTCGAGTACCGCTTGTACACAGATAATTGTCACTCGTGATTCATTGAATGTTTTCTCTTCTACACCGTTAACTTATCCCTTTCGTCCCAAAAAGAATTTACCGAAAAACCGCCGGAGAGAAATTTGTGCGGAGGGTTAAAGGTCCCACCGGTCTATTTTCGCCCTGGATTTTTTGTGGGGGCGTGAGGATTCCTGGTAGAAGACAAGGAAGACTAGAAAAGGAAAGTGGTGGCAGCACTAAAGAGCAGTGACATTGGAGTGGGCACAAAAAAAATATTCGAACCCTTTTTTCTCACTTCTTTCCCTCCTTCATTGACCCTTCGAGGAAGAGGATAAAATCTACCCTTCCACTTTCCTTCTCATCCTTTTTTCTTCTTCTCCTTCCTGTGTCCCCCTTTGAATAAGAAAAGAGGAAGGTTCGTATATCCCCGCGACATCTGTGCCGAAAGGATTGCGGAGTCGGACCCGTGATTTTCATTTCAATATTCAACGTTTTTCTTCGTCTCACCCTCTTTTCAACTCACTCAATCATTATGGCAAACATATCTGAGAAAATCCGTACTGGAGATGAGGCTCTCGATGCAAGTGAGTATTCCTCCATTGCGCTATTTCTTTTTACTCAATCGCTCGGTTTCCAATTTTTCGCTTCCGACTCAGTCTACTTGCGGGGGTGAAAAACCTTGAAGTTGTTACTACCCAGAAAACATTTAAACTGACGAAGGAACTCTGTCACCGATAGACACTAGCAAAGTTACTTCTCAACCTACCACTGAAAGAAATGAGAGGGAAGAGATTTTTCAGGATGGGGCTGGTGCTCCCCAGCTTCATGATCGTGAGTTGTCAACCCATATATGAGACACGCGGGGTATATTGCTATGGCGGGGTGGTTTTTTTTCTTCTCTAGTTGAAATAGCGCCGACGCACTCGAGAGAGATAATGGAACGGACTAACTCTATGAATTTAATAGTTTTCCAACTGACCGTTAAACTCCCGCACCACCCAAATAGCATGCAAATAATGGTGCGTCCTACAGCGTAGACAGATTGCAACAAACATTTCTTTCGCTTTTTTTTCCCCCCTCTTCTCATTTCGTTTCCTTCTCTTTAACAAATCTAACAAAGATCTCGTATAGGTATCAACCTCGGAACAAGTACAGGATATCCGTCAGTCAATCATTGAGTTACCAGACACTTTCCAATACACATGCTTTCACCTTGAGCACAACGGTACTCGGATTAGCGACTTTGTTGAGCTATCAGACGTTCCGGGAATCACACCCGACTCTGAACTGATTCTGGTGGAGGACCCATATACAGAGAAGGATGCTAGATTGCATTTATTACGAGTACGGGAGTTGATTGGTGCTGCCGGGCCTCGTATAGATCTTGTCAATGGAATCAGTGCTGGTCTGTGTTTGTTTGACGGAATTGGGGTCGAGAACAGAGATGATTCTAAGAAGCCAATCACAGAGGAACCACAACCTATGGCTGGCTTTGATTTTAACGCACCGGCTTCGCTGGATCAATTCCTTCCAAAATTTCCGGTTCATCCAGCGCCAAAGTGTGTCAAAAGCATCGCCCTATCACCCTGGAACCCCCCACCGCACCACCTCCGTCAGAGAGGACACTTGATTTATATTCAGGTTACTACACTTGAGGGCGAACAATTCCACATCACTTCACATGTATCTGGGTTCTACGTCAACCGGTCTAGCAGTAACAAATTTGACCCTGCGCCTAAACTCGCGCCCAAGGATTTCTCTGCACACTCGCTAATCGCCCTCTTGGGATTAATTTCCCCATCCTTCAATAAGGAATTCCATGCGTTGCAAGAATGGAATGCTAAGAAAGAAGCTTTGGTCACTTTTGCGCCCACAAATGCTATTCCGGCAGCACCCTGGTTGGTTCCAGGGCCAGATACTAAATATTATAATCACCAGTCTGACGTGGCCCGCCCTCAAGAAACCTATTTGATCGCTGGAACAGAGAATGTTGATTCTCTCCGCGATTTCAATGAGGAGTTCCAATCTACCCGGGAACTTCCGAGGGAGACTGTACAGGAGCGTGTGTTCCGCGAGAGACTTCTATCCAAGCTGTTCGCCGATTACACTGACGCTGCCGTTCGTGGGGTTGTTCTGATTGCTAAGGGTGAAGTAGCTCCGCTAAATCCTACTGAAGGAAGAGATGCGCAGATTTATGTCTACAATAACATTTTCTTCTCGTACGGCGCAGATGGTGTCGGAACATTTTCTAGCGAGGGTGGCGACGAGGCTGCTCGAGTGGCTACTGGAAAGGATGTTATGGGTGTCAAGTATGTTAACGGATTGGATATTCCGGGGCTGTCCACACCTGGAACTGTCGTTGTAGATTACCTCGGAAGAAGGTTGGTGGCTCAGAGTATCGTGCCGGGAATATTCAGGCCACGAGAAGAGGGCCAGAGTCAGATTGATTATGGTGGTGTCGAAGGCAAGGACGTTGTTGCTACCACTGAATCGTTTGTTCCGCTCTTTGAGATAATGAGCCGAGCCATGAGGGTTAAGAAGCATAACGTCTGGGACAAGGAGGGAAAGAAGCATGAACTCGTAGCCTCTGTGGAAACTAAGGGTTTGCTTGGAACTGATGGGAGGAAGTACGTTTTGGACCTATACAGAACTACGCCTTTGGATGTGGACTTTTTGGAGAAACATTGGAAGGGGACTGAAGGTGAGGAGTCGGAGAAAGGGTATCCTCATAGGATGGCTGTTCTTAGGCCAGAACTTGTAGAGAGCTTTTGGAAGACCAAGATGCGGGAATATGTTTCTGCTGAAATGGAAAAGCGAAAGGTGGCCAAGGGGGAGGACCAGAAGAAGTCTGATGAGGCGAAGGCCTATGCTGGGGAGGAGGGCGAGGCCAAGGGTGAAGCCACTGAGAAGGTTGTTTCCACAAAAACCACTGAAACAAATTTAATGCTAACACTTTAGAAACGAAGTTCGAGGAAGATGTCCAAGAGAAGAAGCTTGAGGAACCAGTCAACAGTATTGACATTTCTAGCTTTGAATTCTCACTGAATCCTGATGTTCTCTCCGGTCAAAAACCGGAAACAGAGGAGGAAAAGGTGCAAATGGAGAAAGACGAGAAAGATGTCAGAGATGCTTGCAATTTCCTGTTAACAACGGCAATACCAAGATTGGTAAATCTTTTTCGGTCCCCCGAAGAAAAAGAAAACAAAATTACCCAGCTAACGCATTGTCAGATTTCTGATTTAGCCGAAGGCGAGGTCGGATCACCCATGGACGGCCATTCTCTCTCCTGTCTCATGCACAAGCGAGGTGTCAATGTTCGCTATCTTGGAGTGATTGCCTCTTTGGCAGATGAGGAAGGGACCAAATTAGGCTCCATCAAGACCCTTGCAATTCAAGAGATGGTTTCTAGGGCGTGTAAGCATATTTTGAATGCCATGCTCCGTGGTCTCCCCGGCCCGTTGGTCCCTTTTTGTGTTTCGCATTTCCTTAACTGCCTCCTGGGAGCCGAGCACAACCCTAACCCAAAGGTTATCCCTGATGAAGGTCTCTGGAAGCTGTATCATGATGCCGACTTTGGCTTCGAGAAATTAACCATTGAGGGTCTCCGAGCGAGTATTGAAAAGGAGGTCAGCAAGAGGTATCGGTACAGCCTTCAAGAAGATTGGATTAGCGGCATCAAACATCTTCAAATGCTTCGAGAGATTGCTCTCAAGTTTGGTCTCCAAATGAAAATCAAGAATTATGAATTTGGCGCTCCCAAACCCACATCAGTGGCTGCAAAGGTCAATAGTGAGGCATCGCCATCTACTAATGGAAATTCAAAGGGCAGGTCGAGCAGCAAGAAGAAGTCGCCCGTGACATCGATACATGAGGCGCCTATTCCCAAGCGCCCCTCGATAACATTCGATCCCGAGGATATTATGAACGTGGTACCAGTTGTCAAGGATTCATCTTCTAAGGTACTCTAATTTATTGTGGCGGTTTTACATTAATTGACTAGCCACTTACTAATGCGATAATGCTGCAGAGTCTGTTGGCTGAGGAGGCACTCGAGGCTGGCCGGATGTCGCTCATTCAAGATCATAAGGAAATGGGGCAAGAACTCCTTCTCGAATCTCTTTCGCTGCACGAGCAAATCTACGGTGTCTTGCATCCCGAAGTAGCTCGCGTTTACAATACGCTTTCCATGCTGTATTACCAACTAGAGGAGAAGACTGCTGCCGTAGAATTAGCCAGAAAAGCGGTAATTGTATCGGAGAGGACATTGGGAATTGATTCTGCCGAGACGCTACTCAACTACCTCAACTTGGGACTCTTTGAGCACGCGAACGGAAATACCAAGACAGCACTTGCTTACATCAAGCATGCACTCGGTTTCTGGAGGATTATATACGGCCAGGCACACCCAGATTCGGTCACGACAATGAACAACGTTGCCGTAATGCTTCAAGCACTGAAGCATTACACCGACTCCCGGAAGTGGTTTGAGGCATCCTTGGCGGTTTGCGAATCTATTTTCGGGAAGCAATCTCCGCATACGGCCACTCTCTACTTTCAGCTTGCGCAGGCTCTTGCCCTCGACCATGATTCCAAGGGAGCTGTCAATAGGATGCGCGATGCCTACAACGTCTTCCACGCCAAGCTCGGGCCGAACGACCGCAACACTAAAGAAGCCGAGAGCTGGCTCGATCAGCTCACTCAGAACGCCGTGATCCTTGCGAAGCAGGCAAAGGACATCCAGGAGCGTAAGAAACGGGGATTCCCCATGACACCACACGTAACTATGTCAACTCGTCCGCAGCCCCAGGTTGGTCAAGGATCCGTCGCTCCCCACGGAGTAGCTGGATCGGCGACCTCCGCGTCTGGGTTGGGGAGAATGGACCCTCGGAGCATCGACGAGCTCATGAAATTCATCGAAGGCAGCAGCGAACCGGTAGCCCCGAAGAAGAAACCTACAAGAACTAACCCCAAGAGGCGCGGAGGTGCTGCTGGCCCCGGGCCCAAGAAATAGAAGGGCAGGTGGAAAATCGTTGAATGCTGTGTTAGGGGATTACAGTACCGGTAGAGGACGAAAGTTTGTTTTATTAAATGTGGGTTCTGAATTCTTTCCAGTAAAGTTTTTTTTGCGCCTCACTGTGGATCCAATAATTCTTATTTATTACTATCCGCTTGCCTTGTCCATTCCCATCTTGGTTTCGTTCTCGGCGATGTTCCAGCGATCAGCAGCCGGCAACAAAAAAAGCATTTTCTCTCTCTCACTCCTGTTTTTCGTTGTGTGTGGGTGCTGTGTATAGGCTTTTCCTTATTTTATCCTCGGCATGACGGGAAGGTTGGCTAAGACAGACCGGAACATTGTTGGTGAATTGAGTTGGGCCTGATAAAAGAAAAAAGAGGGGAGGGGGGGAAGGTTTACACAAAAGTTCACTCGATTTGGGTCTGTTTGTTTCGTGATATTTGTATTTTTTTCCTCTGGGTTATCATTCTTTCAGTCTTCCTTTGGGCCCTTTCTTTCGGCGGTCTCTCCTCGTAGCGCACTGTAAATATTATCTTCCTTCCTCCTCATTTTTCTTGGACTGTACAGTACTCTAGTGAGCATCATCTCTTCTCCGTCTTTAATCTGGCCAAGTCCTCCCCACAAAACGCAGCCCACGACATCGCGCCGTACCGCATTTCATGCACAAAAATAGGGGCGGTGGCCTCATCTACTCGTACCGGTATGATACGGTAGTGCACCCACTGTACCCGAAGGCTCCACAGTACCGGTATCGCTCGCTCGCCAACTTCGAGCCTCTTCGCAAGGATAAACCACCTTCTACAACATGCTACGCTACAAGTACAAGAGCCCATCATATCAGTCAATCAATCCCTGGAACGCGGGCTCATACCTCGTCCATCCATCCATTATTCATACCCTACAACATCACACCGGTACCGGTACAGTACGAGTATATATACTGCGCACGGCGTCAACATTTTCAAAAGCACTGTACCACACATACCCGTGTTGTCGACAGCATGTTGCCATTGTGATTGTGAAAGAGATTGTTGGTCCCTGTATGAGTGCTGGCATGGGAATAACTGTGAACATTGGAATGTTGTGAATGTCAGCTTGCCATCGATAGCGGGAATTGTAGGAATGGGAAACGGAATGGAGCGTACTGTACTAGTACAATTAGGATGATCGCAGTCAGGGAGGCTGCACTGGGCTAGGAAATTTGCATCATGCTGTATTATAATTATTGATTGACGCTGTCGCTTGGTTGATGGGATGCATTGAGGGTTCACTTCGGTCTCCAATCCGCAAAATAAGGTTTTCGAGTGATACGGCATGGCACGGCATAGCATGGCGCACTGTGTCCTACCCACCACCCACACACTTACTTGAGTGCAAGTAACTTACGGCACTTGTACTCGTACTTGTACAGTACTGTACTCGAGTACGAGTACTTTCAAGTGGTGAAAAAGAGGGCACAAAAAACGGATGGAAAAGAGTGTGCTCGAGTAATAAAAAAGTAAAGGAGGTCTGGTCTTGCCCTTGCGTCGATTGTTGTGGGAGCTTTGTGGATCCTTCTTTTTTTAATATGAGGGGGGGGGACGGGAAGTGCGTGCGTGGGTGCGTTGCGAAATGGACGGGAGGTCCATGCTTTGGTGACCCCTTGGTTGTAAAATTGCACATCATAGCACAAACACGGAAGAGAAATTGTGCGGGAAGTTCCCCTGCTTCTTGCGTTTGTGGGTACAAGTATGTAAATATGTATGTATGTATGTATGGTAGCCAACTGTACTCGTACTGTACTGTACAGTACTGTATCGTACTGAGCATTCGAGTGTGCAATTTGGAGAATTGACCGCTCCCTCCATCCCTTCCTCGCCACCCGTGCTTGTACCAGCAGAGGGCGGAAATTAGGATCGTCCAGAAGGATCCCCCTCAATTCCTCCTTCTCTTTTCCTCTCCTTCCTCCACCCGTCCATGACTTTCCTATCCTGCTGGTTGGTGAAACGAAGCGGACGATTCCGCTCCTTTGCCCTTTTCCTCTCAGCCAGATTGGTGGAGTTAGATTCCTTGGCAGTGTGGGTATTTGCTCTCATTCAGTTGGAATGGGAAGGTCTTGGCGGTAAGGGGAAGGCAATGGGGGAGATCAGGTACCGTCGCCACTGGAATTTGGTTGTTTTTTTTTTGCACTTTTTGCACTTTTTGTCGATTGGTTGTTGACTTGTTTGAAGGGCAGCTTTGGCTGGTTCGGCGGGAGGGAATAGCTAAACGGTTTTCCCGTCACCCTGGAGCGGTGATGAAGGATGATTTGCCACTTTTGGCTTTCTCCTGGTTGGGTTTGGGGGGCACTGGGCTGGATCGGGTGTATGTGTGCTCGTCACTGGGATTTGGTGCAGGGATGGGAAATTGAGGGTGATTGGCTTTGCAGATTGTGGATTGTGGCCCGAGATTGAGAGGAAAAGAGGAGAGGAGAGAAAAGCCCTTTCTCTCTCTGTCTCTTCTAATTTTTACCCTTTTTGCCCTTGTTCACACTCAATCTTCCTCTTCCTTTCTCCTTCTCTTTCCCTCTCCCCTACCGTAGCCTAAGCCAATCTTGGATCCCCTGCCCCCTATCCCAATTCCCCACTCTCAATGCCTATAAGGATGGCCTCGAGTCCCCCCATCTTCAAGCCCTCTTTCTTTCCTTCCTTCCTCACTACTCACAGTCTACCGCGTCCAATCCACTTCACCAGTCGCTCTTTTAGCAACCCCCCCACACTCTTTTAAAAACTCCTTTTCCTCTTAATTCCCACTACCTTCACTGTTATCCTTTAGGTATTTATACAAAGAAGTCTTTATATAAAGGAATAACTATTCACAACAAACAAACAAGCAAAATGCGTTTCTCTACCATTGCCGTTTCCGCCGCTGTCTTCGGTGCCACCGCTATGGCTCTGCCAGGATCTGTTGTCTACCAGACCGAGATGGTTACCATCACCTCTTGCGCGCCTGAGAAGACTGACTGTCCCGCTAAGTCTACTTCCGCCCCGGTTGTCAGCACTCCTCCTGTCGTGACTTCTGTCTGCCCAGGATATCCTAATGTATGCTCATCCCCTCAAGCCTATTGATACGAAACCTGGAGCAATTTGCTAATATGGATTCAATTAGTGCTACCCGCCTCACCCAACTCCCAGCTCTAGTTACAGTCTCCCCGTCCACCCGAACAGCTCGTATGTTCAACCTGTTCCTTCCACCAGTAAGCCTGTCTGCCCAGGTGCACCTCACTGCCCTCCCGTTGCCACCGTCGCTCCGGTCTGTCCAGGAGGCCCTAATGTTAGTTGTCCCGTTGTTAAAGCCTGTCCTGTGGAATGGTTTGCTAATTAAGATTAGTGTCCATCTGTCAGCATGACCTCTAAACCGGTTGCTTCTGTCATCCCTGGAACTGGTCTCCCATACATTCCTTCTGGAACTGGTGTTCCTTACCCTACCAAGAACACATCCGTCCCGGTTCCAACTACTCCACCAACCTACACTGGTTCCGCTTCCATCCAGAGCTTTTCCATCTTGGCTGTTGGTGTTGCTGTCGCTGCTTTCTTCTTGTAAGCACCGAGCGCTCCATCGACCTCTTTGATGATGGATGACTTTTTAATCCCACGCTTTCGCTGGGAAAACATTCAAATGGGATGAAGTGATTTTCAATTCTGTCGGTTTGGTTGACTTGGTGCTGGCAAATGTGATGTTAACCTATTACATAAGGGTTGGTTTGCGTTTTTGTGTAATTTCTAGTTGTGAATTATTTGGGTTCTCCCTCTTTTCCTTTATATTCTTTTCTTATAGATTCTTGGTCTTGAAGGTCGTGAGTTGAGCTGGATCAGTAGTGGATTTTGAAAGTTGGTCAGGGAGCAAAAATAAGCCTTTTTCTGAGGAGCAGAGTCGTTTCTCTTTGTGTTTTACGATACCATAATTAAGCTGTGCTTTTTATATATATATTTTTTCCCTTTTATGTCGGGTCGACTTGTCCTGATACGTTGGCAATCTGGATCGTGATCTGGTCCGTACAAGAATGGTAGGGTGTTTGGCATGTCTTAGTGTGCTCCCCATTTTCTTCGATTGTCTTAGATTTCCGTCATCCTTGCTCGATCGCCGCGATGCACCCCCTCCTCATGTCCGCGCGACGAAGTTTGTGTTACGGGTCGACCTAGAGTATGAGCCGTTTTTTTGCACTTTTTTTTCCTCCGTCGCGTGCTCCTGTATTACCTACCTACCCCTAGCACCCGAGCAGGGTAAGAGTGAGAAGTTGTGATGTGAAGTTCCGAAGAGGGGAAAGGTCGAGTAAGTGGGCTTGCCGGGTTACTGTATTTGTTTTGTCTTGTTTTTCTAGTGTAGGAAGGGTGGGGGGATTGGCTCGAATTACGGCGATGTGTGATTGTTCTGACCTTGCTCGGGGGGGAATCCGTGGAGGGGGGGGTTCTGTTGCCTGTAATATACTATGTGCAGTAAGTACCTCGGGGGCTAGTAGGGGATCCAATTTGGTTTACCTTGTTTCGTGTAGACTGTATACGCGGAAAACTGCTGACTTGTCATTACTTTATGGCACTTTGCGATACTATTTTTTCCGGGTGAGGGGTCCGTAACAGGCAGGCAGGCAAACGGAATTCCAGCTGAACCCTGACTTTTTGAGAGGAGCATACGGTACCCAGGGCGGACGGGGGGAACTCGGGGGAAAGAACGGAGAAATGGTAAGAAGTGATATTATGATGGATTGCTGTAGAGCTCGCGTCATACATTAGGGACGGTCAGCTGTCAGCATGTATCATGTCCCATTCCATAAAAATGGCTTTTTTTTTTGTCAGCGTCAGCAAGGCATTTTCCCAACGTTTGCGTGCATGCGTGATAAAATAAAACATGTCAGCTTTTCACAAAACTACGGGAATCGTGTGGAATAAATTAAATTTTTTTTTCTCCTTATGCTCTCGAGAGGGGTACCGTAATAGTCACTGTGGAGGAAATAAGTCAAAAAAATTTTTTCTTCCGGCTCTGAGTATCATACTCGTTCACCAGTGCTCTTTTACTTCTCGGGATCTGTCAGACCCCTTTGATTACATAATCTTATGAGGCTTGGAATGTTTGTCAGCGAGTTTCAACCTTTCGACCGGGTCGTCACGTGCCTATTAAGATAGGGCGTTCGGACAACCAGTTATGATGCTCGAAGGTCGGATAGGTAATTTCTTCCGCTCAATCACCTTCTCACAGCCACGGATAGCGGAAATATACTGCTAATCCGGGTTCACTCTCACTTCGGGGGGCGAGCTGGGCACGGCGGAGTTCGTGTAGCTCTTGTGTTAGGTTGGTCACTAAGTTATCGACTATCTCGCCCCTCTATCTCGCCCCGTGACTGTACCGTACAACTAGGGAAGCGTAGCGTGGTGGGATATGTGATACCGCGATAGGTGGAAATACTGTGTGAGTGATGATTGAAGGAAAATTTCACGGGGTGGGGAAAGAGATGGGGAGAAATTGACCTAAATTTTTGTCTATCGGGAAGGAGTTTGGTTGATGAGGGGGAGTGGGGTGGTATATTTGCGTGATAGATTCATAGATGCATCACTCGGTGTATCTAGCGCTGAGCCAGCCGACAGCTGGGTATGATATCCTCAATGTTACTCCTTTTCGACAGCTTTCCATCAATGAAATTCGGAAGCGGAATTCATGGCTAGAGTTTGTGAAAGCAGTAATAATGCTCGATATTAATATTAAATTGACACTATTAGGAGCCAATGATCAACCTCCCCCCTCACCCTACATTTACACCCACCATCTCATACCCAATCCCTTCAATACCAATCTCCCTAATAATAATCCTACACAAACACTAAAGAGCTCTTAGTTACCCGTGAAGGCAACACAGTCAATGTTGGAATTGCCGAGACCGTCCTAAAAGCATTGATTAGCCACGATCTACCCCCCCCCCAAAAAAAAAAACATCGGTAAATAACATACCTGCTTGGAAGAGCTAGAACAGCAAGCAGCCTTGGCACTACACTGGCTAAGATTGGAGACCCCATCAACTGTTCTCTTCATTAGCTTTTCCCACACCAACATTTAGAAGAAGCTACTAACCACTCTGGACATTGGAGATCCCACTGTTGCATTTGACCTTAATGTTATCCAACACGGAAGTGTAGGTACCGACTTTCCCGATTTTGTCAGCGTCGTCGCAGCAGTAGAGCTTCTGGTTCTGCCCCGGGCACGTCCTGCTGGAGTCATTGACTTTGACGTTGTGACCGTCATGGTGCTCGTTGCCAGCGAGGGGGGGCAGCGGTAACGGCGGCGGCGAAGAGAACAGCAGGGACTTGATTGAAACCATTTTGATTGATTGGGTAAGGGTTTGTCGAAACTGAAGGTTAAAGAATGGGGAGTAGAGTGGATTGGTAGTGGTGGTAATATGAAGGAGTGAGTTGATGGGGATGGTGGTGATGGAAAGAAGAAACTTGTGGAGGAGGAGAAGGGGGTCTTTATGCATGATTTCCTGACACGGACATCTTCTCTTTTTCACTCAGGAAGCGGGCCACCAGTCCTCGTGCAAACCCTTTACGACTATCACGACCGAATCCAAAGCTCGCCGACTCACCCTCTGCACTCCAGGAGTCACGGTCGATCACTCAGGGACATCAGTAACAACAACGGCGATCACTACTGGATCAGTGGAGCTGACCTCATATAATCTCATCTCGGCTGAACCGCGCACCGTCCAAGAACATAAGGTACTGGTACGGTACCTGAATGGTGTCTTTGCAGTTACTGGCTCGCCCGCCGCGCCGATCCCGTTTAACTACCGTACGGTTGTTCACTATTCCTTACAAATGGTGTTTCGCCAGGGCCGTCCGCCTTCTCGGGGTTGGGCTGAGACACGAAAATTGGGAAAGACTGAACCGGACTGTGTCTCAGTCCTATCGGCGGTCAAATGCAGAGCCGGGTTAGCGTTAGCGCTACGTGTCTGAATAATCCGTTTTTACGTGATGAGATTGCGGTGGGGGTCATTGTGTCTTGCGGTCAATGATGTCCGTGATATTCCGGGGAGGGGCTTTTTTTTTTTTTATTTTTTTAAAAAAAGACTCTTTTTACTGATGGGATTGGATTGGATGTAACTCCCCCTTCCCCTATTCACGGGTTTTAGATCATCTACGCAAGCATCTTTTGAGACTTCCAAATCACACCTTTCTGCCTTGTTCCACTCTTTGCTCCGGCTTCAACCCCGGAAATCGATCCAAAATAGTTTTAGTCGAGTCCCTCGCTATTCTCCTCTTCGCGGCTGCCGTCACTATAATCCCTATACTAGAGTAGCTGGCTACGCACATCGCTATGTAGGCCATTCCGGCAGTATCAAAGGCTCTAGCACGATGTGCGAAAGCCCGGAGCAGACGTTCTTCTAATACAACAATGTTAGAAGATCTCGGGCTATCGGTGCCTCCTCCTCTGAGATGGATGACAGAATCGTCAAATTCTATTCTGGTTGGTGGATTGGATTGGTATGGAGGCTAACTTAATTGATGTTCGCGGGCCGGCCTCTTCAACATTGCTAATAATTTTGTTGCCTTCCCCGGCGCCAACTAACCACGATACGAAATTACGGATGAGTGATGGATGGTGAGTGGGGGTTGGGGGATCTAATAAGTGTCTTGTATATCTTAAACTATCAAATTGACCTCTCTCTCTACACCGTAAAAACCTGGATAATTGGACGTTGTGCTTGTCTTTGGGCTTTCCTCTCTCTCCATATGGTTACAGTGATAAAATTTTCTTTTTTCTGTCTCGGAAGAGGGAAAGGGGCTGTGTTTTTGCTGTGCCTTTAGCCTCCCTTCTAGGGAAGGGAATTTTGGACTACATCGCACACCGTTCCATTATTCAAGTATTCACAGCACTACATCCTATCGGACTTGAGCCTTTGTAAAACAAAATCAGGTCAAATCAAATCAAACCAAATCATCAATTGCGTAAGTTAGGCTCAGGGAGTGTAGAGCTAGGGGTGATTTTGCAGACTAGGAAGGTATCCATCTGGACTTCGTACATTGCAGAGGTTTTCCAGAAACCTGTAGGGAGCTGCTTCACCAGCCGAAATCCGAGATACATTCCCTATATTTGCTGATCCCAAGAGCACATGACCCGGTCCACCGGGAGCCGAAATTTAATTGAAGATTGACCTAGAGGATGATGACCTTAACCTTTGACTTCGAGAATCTCGTGCTGCACAAGGACCATTCGAATTGTGCCTTCTTCTTGACGCCATAGTTATCAGAAGTTTCACCGCAAAGCCCCGTGATACCGGAGCTGAATTGAGGGCGCGCTGGGAAGCAGTTGTGAGGGGTTTGAAGAGAGTTGAGCTGCGCCGGTCTACGAAAATGGCTTCATTTCTTTCCGATTAGGTTCCTCAATGGGGCTGTAAGCTTAACTTATGGGAATACGATCCCATCAACTAGTACCCACTGCTTACCACTCACTGATGGAGCGATCCGCAAGGGGGAAGATAGCGTGTCTGGGGCTGTGCCTCAACGGTTGGGGGATCTAGCGGTCGGGCATGATTTCGGGCTTGATACTAAGAGTTGAGTGTTTTACAAAGTATGATACACGATGGGAGACTAGAGCTCTTGCATACAGGTTGCCACTCGGGAAATCTTTGAGCTAAGGTGGGTAGTGATTTTTTTGGATATTGATAAATGTGATGTATTAGATCAAAAGGAATAGGTAGATATGAGAAAGAAAAGAAACACTACTATTATGAATTACAATATAAGACCTCACCCGACCATCCCATGCTTGGCATTCCTCCTTCACATCCACACGTAAATTGCTCATTCAGATTTCTTCGACTTAGTTGGCAGCGATAGCATAACATCCGGAGTTAAAGTTGAGGTAACCATTCTGTAGAATACCGATTAGCCCACATATCACAAACGGGAGCGGAAAACAAACCTGAGCACCATTGCTGTTGCAGCAAACAGCCTTCTCACTGCACTGGCTCTGTCCGGAAACACCATCGACTACTCAACCGGTTAACTTAGTTGAAAACACGGACATTCGGAAATACTAACTAGAATGGACGCTACTAGTCGCAGAGTTACAGTCGAAGGCAATGCTGTCAAACATAGCAACGTGGGAACCATAACCCTTGGACTTGGTGAATTTGTTGCAGCAGAACACCTCCTGGTCCTGTCCCGTGCAGCTTTTGCTGTTGTCCTCGACATTGTTGCTATGGTCTTCTCCGCCAGCAACGGGGATTGCGGTGACGGCAGCGGCGAAGAGGATGACGGCGAGGGACTTGATAGAGACCATTTTGACTGGTTTGTGGGGGCTTGGATAAAGCGGAAGCTTGGGGAAGAGAGTAAGAGAGTAAGAGAGGGTTGGTATTGGTATTGGAGTAGTGGAGTAGTAGAGCAGTGAAGAGTGGTTGAGTGATTGAATGGGAGAGTGGATGAGTGGGAAGGGAGGGAGGGGGGGTGGTATTTATGCTCAATCCCTCTCGTTAGAGGTCTCCACCACTTCTTCTCTTGATCACAAAGCACTTCGCAGTGGATAAACGTGAAGGTTGTCCAGAGCGTTTCGGTCCCGTTGTTGGTCGGTCTTTGGACAAAACAGGAGTACTCCGGCGCTCTGCTTGTGTTGTCCCTAGTCAGACACCATGCGGGCAACCTAAGCGATTGTTCACTACTCTTTCATTACCGCATCTGGGGGCAGTTCCCGGGGGGATAATTGTATGATGAAGATTATATCAACGTCTTTTCTAACCGCGCTTTGCTACTGTAGCTATCTTGGTAGTTTCCCGCTGGCCAAAGTTACGGAATATCAGGTGGTAGACGGAACTGAATGATTGGGGGTAGGTAGGCACAGGAGGATTTACTCTTTTGTGTATGATAGAGTTCGAATGTGGAGGTATATCCGCATTCTAATTAATTAGTGCGCGCCCTATGTCGGGCACAGGGGTGGAAGACTGTCTGTACCCCGGCTGAAGAGACTTAGTCTGGGCTAACATCAAGAGCAAGACCTTGAGGTGTTTTCACCGATAGTCCGCTTTTGATCACTGACCTCTCCGAGTATCATAGAAGATCTCTACTACGATACGCCCTCTCTATATTCGGCTTGTACAATGACCGTACTTCTTATTACCAGTAGTTCATAAAAAATAGGGAGGAAAAGAGTCTTTTCTCACTTTTTTTTTTTTTTTTACCTTCTACCCATTTGGCCTTTTTTTTCCTATCATACGACCTCTCTGCAGCTACTCTTACCCTGTCGCCTGTCCTCATTACCCACCCCACGCGTATTGCGGAACTCACTCGTCATTGAGGTTAAATATTAGCCCTAGTATCTTAGGTATTCCAGGTCTCTAAATTTGCAAGGTATAGATCCTGCATGGGTACCCCGTGGGGGATTGGGACCCGGACTGTGAAAGGGTTTTTATTTCTACTCTATCATATTGTAGTCTTTCCGACTGCCGGGGTAACCGTGTTGAGGTTAGATCCAAATCATGAGACATCACTTGTCTGCTGTGCCGTTCCCTCAGCCCGTGCCCGTCGCGGAAGCACTCAATCGTCTCGCCGCATTGGGCCCACTGTCCTCCTCGAGGATGGCCGCTCCGACACAGTGCTGATCCGAATGGGTCGGGATGCTTGGGCTAAACACTAATAAGTTCTCCAAGACACCAAAGCATCCGCCTTTGCCTTACCACCCCCCTTTACCTCAGATCATCAGATCAGATCAAATGCACAACAATCGCGAGCGTTTCGCGGATATCTGGAACCTTGGTTCCGAGAATGTTGATCGGCGATCACTTAACTTAAAGCTGTTCTCCTCCGAATACGGTACGATACTGGGTTGGGCTGTTGGCCCTTCCGTATGATGCTCAGTTTACACTACTGGTAGTTGTGCACGAAAGCAGCAGACCTCAATACTCATAGCTAATAGGGTAGAGCTGGCCCAAGATAGTTCCTTTTACGTTTGTGCTTGTGTATTTTATGATACTACCCGTGGTGTATAGCAAGTGCCAGCTAGTCGTCAGATTCAGCGTAAATTAAGACCAACGCTTCAGCCCTAAATTCTCGAGATAGTGTCGGCACTTACGTTCTTGGTGGGTCTCTAGCATCAAATCTTTGTATGTAGCATTCGACTGAATTATATCCCGTTCCATCTGTTACCGTAAACCCTTCCGTGCCACCGCAGCTCTACAGGGAAAGTTCAAGTATCATGAGGAAAAGATTCAATTGGGGCTTGAGTGAGCCGCTGTGCTATCCGGATCATCCGACTCTTTCCCCTGAAGCTCATAACCAGATACGGCAGTCAAGGGAACCCTCCGCGCGAAGCGGTTAGAGCAGCGAGCTATGCGGTAGCTGGGTATTCCGTTGTTGCTGTGGGTGGGTTGCCATGGGGGTCGGGGCTCACTCGGCGGTAATGCCAATATCAGGTTAACCTAGCTTTGATCCGTTCGACGACCGATTAGACAACCGCCACAACCACGGGAATGCACTGAGCTGAATCGTCTCTCTGCTCACCAAAGTGATTTGCAGTGAAGAGGAAGAAGAAGAAGAAAGGCCAAGGGGGAATAACAATTCGGCTGATGATATCGTGTATAAATACTAGTCTCCCCCCTCCGTAATTTTCTATCCTCATCCACTTAGGCATCCTTCACTTCTCTACTATCATTACCATCCAACTCCCAAAACACTCTTTACTTTTAAGCATTTGCCCCCTAAATATCCGAAAATCAATCAAAATGGTTGCCATCAAGTCCCTCGCTGTCCTCCTCTTCACCGCTGCCGTCACCGCAATTCCCCTTGCCGGTGGGAACGACAATGCCGGAGACCACAGTGTGCAGTGTGGAGACCAGGGGCAGACCCTCTACTGCTGCAACGATATCTCCGACTCCGAGACCAAAGGTGAATATTATGTTGGTCTCTTGGATAATGTCACTGTCAAGTGCAACGATGTTACTAGCAATGTTCAGTCTGGTGGGTTTTTACCTCCGAGAATCAAATACCTGATCAAAGCTAATTTTTTCGGTAGTCGATGGCGTCTCCCGTCAGAGCCAATGTGATGCTAAGGCTGCCTGTTGCAGCAGCAGCAACATTGAGCAGGTTTGTTTCCAGAAACCGATGTCAATTTCATACTGCAGCTAATTGATATTCTACAGAATGGTTTTATCAACATTGTCTTTGGCTGCCAGGCTATTGCTGCCAACTAAGCCGGATAAGGGATCGAGAACGGGGGACTATGTGTGTTTTGGGATACTGGATAGTTGGATTTGGTCTTGTATACGTTAATTTATAATATTGCGCCTTTTTTTCTTCTCAAATCTCATTCTTGTGCGACTTAGTGATCTTGTGAACCAAGCCGGGTGACCTGCAGCAGAAAACCTAGAGCCAATGCTTGAGTATATTCGAGTTCTTAATTCTCTGCGGGAAAGACCCTCAATATTTGCGAACTTCTCAGGCATCTGGACACCCTCGGTGCGGAAGCCTGCCAAAGCGCCGAATCTTGGCGCCGAGTAGTCTGAATCTCTTTGAAATTCTCGAGCACCAGTTAATCCCCTTGAACTTCCGGTAGGGTCCCAACATGTGGAGTTTTTTTTGCCCCTGATTTGCTCTGATCTTGGTCCGGGAGAAACATCGGGATGAGATCTGGGATCATCATGCATCACTTGTGACGTTCCCTCACTCGTTGAGTTCTTTCACGCCCATTGTCTTACCCGGCCCGGCAACTTGATCCTACTGTGGCGACTCCCCCGAAACAATAAATCCACCGGGCAGTACACACAGACACGTTCAGGGACGGCAAAATCTTGGAACGATCTGCTCTGCTTCATCATCTGCCGGCGCACGCGCTGCTGGCATAACATTATATCGACCGACGGACCAGGAACCCTTAACACGTATGATCACTTGATTCAGCCCTAAATGTTTGAAAACGCCGCGCACCGTACTGGCATTGCGCCTTCAACGTTCTACTCCGAACGAACCCTCGGCAGCCACCCAATTTGCATCCCATAACTCTGTTTTTTCACCCGCTCTGAGCATCAACTCAAGCTGAGCGGGTTAGCATCGAAAACTAAGGTACCACACGCGACAGCAATATTTGGAAATTTCCAAGATCCCAGATCCTAGTTAGGGCCAGTAAGGCTTGTCTTTTCAACCAATACCCACCCCCTGAGCAAATTTACATTACTCGAACATTGCGAACCCGTAAACCATCAATAGGTCTCGCCGTCTATCCGGGGCATAAATTGCTAAGAGAGGGAAGATTGCTGTGTTCGGCCATAGAACGATGAAAATTTCGCATCCCGTCCGCTCTGCGGTAAACAAGCATCGTATCGACCGGTTAGTACTACAGTGGGTGACCATGTGGGAATCCCGGTTGCTGAACTCTTTTTTCTTTTCTTTTCTTTTTTCTTTATGAATCCTTTGCGTTTTTGGTCCGCAGTGTTTATGGATGGAGATGGCGGAAATTAAGGCGCTTGCGGGGAGGCGGAATGGACGAGTCCGATCATGGATTATCACTCAATTCCTTCTACTAATGGTACCCAGTTATTCTCGCCCTGCTCTTAATGGGGAATCGATTGGAAATTTGAATACTATATGATGGAGAAAGCGACTTGGAACTGGCCCTCAATGATGCGAAGCAGGAGAAACAATAGTCATCATAATAATATGGTCTATACCAACGGCAGAGCTAGCTAGGTTAACCCATCGCATCCATGCGGTAATGCATCACCTCCTACTCCCCCGACTCTGCGGACAGCATCACTCGGAGCACTCTTTCAAACAATTAACTGCCAGATCCACCACTGCTTTTTCACTTCACCTCGACCTCCCGATCCCGAACACCCAGAGCGTGCCCGGAGCTGGGTGGTGAGGTGGTGGTGGTAGGGGAGCAGCCCACCACGATAGGGGAGGAATTGATCCGCTCTGATTTTCCCCCCTTTTCTTTTTCCCCTCAATCTTGATTGAGGGGTGTGTGCTCGAGTATTGGGTCGCACTCTACTGCGTTGGCTTTTGTTGGCTTTTGCAGCGCGACGGGTGATGATGGGATGGATGGTGGGTGTGGGAGGGAAGGATCGGGATTGAATCAACTTTGTGCGATACGATACATCATACCGGTATGATGCCCCCAGGGATCTGTAAACGATGAGCTCCACAACTCGTATCGATTCCCCCCTACACGTTGGTGTAATACCCCAGTCCAACGGGTCTCGACCACTCTGACGACGAAATATTCCAGCGCCGTGGGTTAAAAAAACAGAAATCCGCAACCACAACCTACCGCTCCAGTTTACCCCAGGTGTGATATACGACACATCCAACGATATCCACAGCTCCCCCCAAAATCTCATCACCGGTGGCCACCCGGTCATCTAGAAGAATTGCTCTCACCCAAAAACCAAAAGTGCGATATGTGACACCCATGATACCCACCCGGACCTGAACCACGATCGATCGGGCCCCCACCACTCGCTCCCGGGACGGCCCGTGCTATGGAGCCCAACCGGACATCGATAGGTCATGCCCTGTATTATATATACCAAGGCTGCAGGATGCACCCGCAAACACACACACACACACACACACACACACACAGTCTCCTTCTTTTCAACTCTGAGGGTTAGGTGTATCGGTGCGGTGTTCGGGGGGCTCACCCAATCAAACGCCCTTGAAGAGCTTCTCACGATGGCTTCAAGTCTTTAACTTCCCCACCTTCGGAAGGTTCACATTTTGTGCTCCGTTGGCTCGCTTTCCTTTGTTTGCCTATTGATACGGCACCGAGTGGACCTCACGGTCCTTATTTTCCCCCACGTTCTTTTGCTCTTGCTTGTCGGTTGGACGTCCTTGGTTTCCGGCCAGGATACAGTTGGTCGTATAGGGAGGCCGTCCTCCCCCCCTCTTCGGAGCGACCGTTCGGACACTCATGCGATTCCGGTTCCTCCTTGGCTTTTCTTCTCGCCTGCTTGGGCCCTTTGGGCCTTGTGCCCCTCACTGTCCTTTCCCGGCTTCGAGCTGGGCCCCCGTGCGAACCCGGTGTTCCTGATCCCCTGTGGGGGGGATGGCTTTGACCCGGAGAAATCGACCTTCGCCACCCCCTCTTTTGGGGTGTGGCTCGACTGGTGTGGCCCACCACCCCCCTTTTTTTTTTCGGGGGCGCGGCCAAAATGCTTGGTGGTGACGGCTCGGCAATGTACATTTCCTCATCTGGCCCAGACGAATATGACGACGACTGACCTGTCCCGAACTCCGCCGGCCGTTCGGTTTTGTTGTCGACATTGCGGTATAACCCTTGCTGTAATGGCTTGGGGGTACAGTCGCTTAATGGGGAGCTCCCCGGGGAATCGCCTTCGGGTGGCGCCTGCGACTCGGGGCCGTGGACGCTTGGCTAATGTTGCTAGGGGTAGGGTTGGGTGTAGGTGCTGGCGCTGGGCTGTTGTTTCTTTTGTTGTGCGTTGATGTAATGATTGTTTTGTGGCAGGTGGCCCGCGAGGGGGATTTCTTTAAGGGGGGCCTTGGGCTGGGGGCTGTATCTCATGCCGTACTCCGATTACTTTAGTTAGTAGGTGAGATAGTGGAAGAATAAAAGGTTTACACACACACACACAGTCTCCTTCTTTTCAACTCTGAGGGTTAGGTGTATCGGTGCGGTGTTCGGGGGGCTCACCCAATCAAACGCCCTTGAAGAGCTTCTCACGATGGCTTCAAGTCTTTAACTTCTCCACCTTCGGAAGGTTCACATTTTGTGCTCCGTCGGCTCGCTTTCCTTTGTTTGCCTATTGATACGGCACCGAGTGGGGCCTTGCGGTCCTTGTTTTCCCCCACCTTCTTTTGCTCTTGCTTGTCGGTCAGGCGTCCTTGGTTTCCGGCCAGGATACAGTTGGTCGTATAGGGAGGCCGTCCTCCCCCTCTCTTCGGAGCGACCGTTCGGACACTCATGCGATTCCGGTTCCTCCTTGGTCCTCCTTCTTGCCTGCTTGGGCCCTTTAGGGCCTTGTGCCCCTCACTGTCTTTTCCCAGCTTCGAGCTGGGCCCCCCGCGCGAACCCGGTGTTCCTGAACCCCTATGGGGGGGATGGCTTTGACCCGGAGAAATCGACCTTCGCCACCCCCTCTTTTGGGGTGTGGCTCGACTGGTGTGGCCCGCCCCCCTTCGGGGCGCGGCCAAATGCTTGGCGGTGACGGCTCGGCAATCTACATTTCCTCATCTGGCCCAGACGAATATGACGACGACTGATCTGTCCCGAACTCCGCTGACCGTTCGGTTTTGTTGTCGACATTGCGGTATAACCCTTGCTGTAATGGCTTGGGGGTACAGTCGCTTAATGGGGAGCTCCCCGGGGAACCGCCTTCTGATGGCGCCTGCAACTCGGGGCCGTGGACGCTTGGCTAATGTTGCTAGGGGTAGGGTTGGGTGTAGGTGCGGGCGCTGGGCTGTTGTTTCTTTTGTTGTGCGTTGATGTAATGATTGTTTTGTGGCAGGTGGCCCGCGAGGGGGATTTCTTTAAGGGGGGCCTTGGGCTGGGGGCTGTATCTCATGCCGTACTCCGATTACTTTAGTTAGTAGGTGAGGTAGTGGAAGAATAAAAGGTTTACACACACACACACGGAGCGAGAAAAATTTCGGAAATTCCGGTACAGTTAGCGGGGCATTCCTGCAACCACACCAAGTTTATTTTTGTTTGTGTACACATCATCTTTTTATCCGGTACAACCAGAATTTTCACTCAAAGAACTACTCCACCCCCTCACTCACGATACTCCTCCCTTAGGTGGTGTGGCCAATCACAGCCCTCCATCCTAAGGCTTCATTTCCTTTGAGAGTTTAGGACGCTGGCCATAAGACCATCCTACTCACTCACCATGACCTCCCAACCTTCGTCTCCGGCCCTGCCGCATCTCTCCCACTCTCCTTCTCCCCTGGGGGGACCCAGAAGCCCTACAAAGAGCCCAAGGGTCAATTCACCCAGCCTCTTCCCGCCCGGCTCCCCTCAAGGAGTTTCCCTCAACTCAACCCTCCCCATGTTTGCCACTATTAGGCACCAAAGGGGTTGCCCCAATGCATTAATCAACGTGGGAAACAGAATCGTGGCCAGGGGAAGTACCTTCCCCGAGGTCAGACAGGAACTAGGATGCACGAATGCATGCTACGTCCTCCTCACCGGAAACACGAAGGCCCCGACCATAGCGGCACCCCAACCAGAGCTCCCAGGGTTCAGAACCACACTCCAGAAAATCTTTGGCAACGAAGCGGTAGATGCAGCCGACACCGACGCCTTAGCTTTCCTGGCAGCAGCAGCCTCCTCCTACCA